AGACAGTGGACCTACAGCGTACAGGGTCGAAGGATGTAGAAGAGGTGCGGAAGTTGATTTCCACTACAGAAAGCTGGGAATCGACCGTGCCAATCGTGCTTACAAGTGCGGTGGATGGCTCAGGCATAGGTAAACTTCATGCGCTCCTCCGATACCTCCCCATTCCTGCGAGGCCGCCATCACGGGACGTCTTGTTGCCCAAGACACTAGCTACTCACACTCACCCTGAAGATGTTTTTGATGTCGACGAAGTCTTCGCTATTCCTCCCTCCAAGGTATACTCAGTAGCTGCGGAGCAAGAAAAGAAAGAAGCGCACGGCGTGGTTCTCTGTGGTCTGGTTCGCTACGGATCTATTTCGGCAGGAGACGAGCTACTCGTCGGACCTCTTATGTCTAACACATCTGACCCGGGCAATTGCTTACAGAGGCAGAGGAGTCGATCGGGAAAACGGCCGGACAGCATTCAGCATTCTAGCACGAATCGGAGCAGACCCGCTTCTGGGGACTTCTCGACCTCGTTTATACATGGCTCTTTCCCTGGGAAACCTTCTCTTCCAACCCAAGCATACTGGCAACGTGTCCGCGCAGTCAGTGTACGGAATTTGCGACTCCCAATTCAAAAATTGACGCAAGACCAAGTCGGGACGATCGGGATAGAGCCGATATCCTTGACTGCGAATGGGCAGATGCCACGACTGGGGAAGATACGGAAAGGCTCCATCCTGCTCAAATTGTCGGCGTCGTCTGCGTCTATACCAAGGGCCCTTCTCTTTCACACTGGCTTCGTAGCCAGCTTTCCGTCTAGCGAGTTCGCGTCTCCTCTATCCCCACCGGTACTGCTGGGTGGTAATGCCACAGTCTATGTGGCCAATGTTCGTACGACAGTGAAGTTGTCATGCATGGCTCTTGCGGAAGATGAGGTTATCTCCAGACCACCGTCACCGACCGAACCGGAGTTCTTCAACTTCGATGGCGACACTTCAGGCTATGAACGGGGTCGCGAACCAGGGGTACAAGATATGGTACAGTCTTCTAGCAATCCAGGACAAGGCGATATCAAAATTACATTTGAATTTGTATCGTCAGTTGAATGGATCGAAGTTGGATCGAGGGTTCTTCTGATGCCCGGAACATCGACAGCCCTGGTGTCTGCGCAGGGGCCCAGCCAGACCTCGGGGCTCGAAGGCTTCCTTGGTCGGGTTTGTGATGTTCTTTGTCTTGAGAATACTACTAGTATATGAGCCTTTGTGGGGAGCTTGTTTTGTTCGTTTTATGTATGGATTATTGTCCAGCAATTGTCATTAGCAGATATGCGTGATTTATAAGGCATTATCTCTTCTCGTAATTGATCCAATATATGGAGTAGTTGCGGTGAGCAAGCAACTTTAATTGTGAGCAAGTCAGTTTTGTAGGTTGTAGATATGACGACTATGCCAACAGTGTCTAGTAGTCACGGGTCCGGGGCCGCTGTCACGGGGAGGGGCGCTAGGCCCGGAAGGGAGGCCCCAACCACCGTCTCGCCGCCACCAAGTGGACAGCGTCCCACCGAGGATACAGATCTCCAAGCTCTCTCGGTACTCTGTACCCCGTTCTCCTCTCTTGCCTTGCTCAGCTGTCTTCAAAGTTCAAACAGTACTAGAGTGGATTCCTTGCCGTGCTGATGTGTGGCATGCAGATCTGAGGCAAGTAGTAGCATGCATCTGACTGCCGGTCCCTGATTGGCGGTTTCTTCGTTGCGGTGCCGTGCCATTTGGTCGATCTGCCCGTGTTCCCACCGGCGCCCCATCCTCGACTGCTTCGTTTACCCCGGATCCGATCCCGTCAGTTCCGCTCCTAGCATCCTTCATATACCTTCGGACTCTCAGACCTATTCACGACCGTTACCCGGAACGAGACCTTTTGATTCGCAATTCCGCCACCAGTCAGCGCGAGTGGCTGGCTTCCGTCTGGTGCTCGGAGCCCCTCCTCAGCCGGCATGGATAGCTATCATACATTATCCGCCAGCAGTAACATGGCTGGTCCCAGCAGCTTGTTTCTAGGATCAAGAGTCAGCTCCGACGTGGAGAACTTAACAGATGATGATGACGAGTTCATGTCCAGCGCCAGCACCACTTCCCATGGTTCCGAAGAACGGACAGAGAATCGATCTGAACCCGAGATGAAGACGGAGGATACTTCAGTCGATATTCCGATGACTCCACCCCGCAGTAGCATCCAAAAAGATGTAAACTCGGGACCATGTCAAAGCAGTCATTTGAAGAGCGATGCGACACCTCTTTCGACAGTGAAGCAGCCTCTTCGGTTGCTCGATATGCCCATCGATGTATTACAGGTGATTATCAAAGAGGTACGGGCTAATACTTCTTCAAATGGCTGCGACAAGTTATTACCACAGACTAACACTTGGTTGAATTCAGGTAACGCATACGAATGATCTCACCTCCCTTGCTCTGACTTGCTCTGCCCTCCATTCCTTGGCGATCCCCCAGATGTATTCTCGCTTTGATATCGTATGGCCCGAAACGCTGTCATCCTCCGACCACCCAGCTGGCGTGGACGCTCTGTCTTATGGTCTTGCAACACTGGTGATGGGACAAGATATATTCCGCGAGCTACCCCCAAGACGAGCGCAACCTTGTCCCCATTGCGGTTGCGAGAGCCCTGCGCCGGATCGAGACAACCCCACAGACACACTCTTGAAGATCCGTCGAGGCAACTACTATGCACAATATACTCGTAAGTTCTCAGTCGGCAACGGTCCACTAGTCTGGGTTCAAGAGTACTCTGTGACGAAAGAGACCGGCAAAATGTTGGGGACACTAGTTGCTCTGGCTGTGGCTCGGATGGTCAACCTGGAGACGTTCGTTTGGGACATGCCAACCGGAGTTTTGAGGGATGTGTGGATAGCGCTTTCATCGCTAGCAAATCGGCCCGGCCATGAATGTCGTCTGCAGCGCGTCTGGGTCCGTTGGCACGACAATTCTGAGAATACCATGCGTCCGTTGGCCGGGCCCTCCACTGCATCTTCCGTGACGCTTCCAGACACGCAAGCTGCATTGGCAGGGTCGGCTAGTAATTCCTCGCTACTACAGAGATATGGGCATGTAGAATACCCTTCTCTGTCGATACTCCCGCCACTAAAGAGCTTGAGTGTCCTTGATATAGATGAACCATCGTATCTCGAAGAAATGGCTGTACTTGTTGAGCGATCCAGAGACCGTCTGAAAGAACTACGTATAGGCATTTCTAGCAAGGTGTACCAAGCGTCTTGGTTGAAGCCAGCAGGAAGCTGGCAGGCTGAGCAGCCAACTCCATCCCGCGGCCATTCTGGATGGCCGAAGTCGGGCGGCGTACTCGGGGTTGTCCTTGGGAGATCTGAGGAGCCCACACGCCCCAATCGGACTCAAGCAGACTCGTCCCCGAAGCAGGAGGCAGCTGAAGGTCATGCGGAGAACAGTCATTCGGGATTCCAAGCTCATTCTTCCATGAACAGCGCTCCGGGATCTCCGTTGCCCACGGACGACATCACTTCCATTGCCCTGAATATGCAGAGCACGCACATAGCGCAGCAACAGCCAGCTATCGCGTCGGAGACCAACTTGTCTCGGGAGATCCCGCACTCGGGCTCAGAGAAGCCTTTGGCTGTGCCGGGCTCTGGCCATCAAATGTTGAAGCTCGAGACCCTAGAACTCGAGCGCGTTCCACTGTCCATTCCGGTTGCGTTGCACGCGCTTGACTGGAGACAACTGACAACTTTGACAATTTTCCGTTGCGAAGGTCACGAAAAGCTCTGGAGAGCACTGCGCCGGCAATTCTCCCCGTCTGTATCGTCGCGCTCGAAGCATAGTAGACGCGAAGGCGATCAAAGTGCCTCCGAGTACCGGTTGAATCTTAGACATATCCACACGGATGCTGTGTCGCCTTATCTGCTGCTGTTCATCAAGGATACACTTGCACCCAACACGCTGCAAACTCTCTTCCTACACGAGGCACCAATGTATGACTCGATCGTCCATATCGATGCTATCTACAAGAACGCTATCAAGACTCATCATCTCAGTCTGCAAAAGATATTGGTCGATAGTACCCAGCGGGCGCCAGGGGGAAGCGAGATGCCTAGCGTGCGGTGGTACAAGTGGATGTTCACTCGCCAGATGCTTACGTTTCTCAGTAGCGGACGTATGCCACGGCTGCGGGAGCTCTCTATAGCTCTTCACTCCAAGGACTGGGTAAGTTACCAATCGAACTCATAATCTCTTGTGCTAACGTCAGCAGCACTATTTCCTCCAAAGGCTACCGTACATGCCTCAGCTTCGCGCACTTCATATACCACATATTGCTCGGCAAGTTCACCGAGACCCGAAGGAACTGGCGATGATGATCCTGGATATTGTGACCATCCGTCCAGAAGTGGGGATAAACTATGTAGGCATACAGAATAAATGCTACGAGATCCTGGAGGCCAAAGATGGCGACGCGGGGGAATTTTATGACACGGACGACAGCCATAGCGAGGGCTTCGTGCCTGGGGGCGAGGAGTGGGCAGGATCAGAAACAAACGAGGATGAATCTGACGACGATGGCGGGGTCAGCGCGATGGACTCGCACTCGGATCTGTCGTCAGACGATAGGACATCATCAGACGGGGAGGAGTCTGAAATGGATTACAACAAGACTCGAGTATCATTTCGGCTGCGAGAGATCTTGTTTTACGATGACAAGATCGCCATCTTCAAGGCGCGGCATGGCGTTTTGTAACTTCCGGTTTCCTTGGCGGGCGTTGGTGACATGTTCGGGCTTTTCTACAAGATACCATGAAGCGATTTCGGTTTGAACATTGTTAGCTAATTTAGGTATGTTAGCGATATTGGCTAGTCTTGTGCAGTTAAGCATAATGGGACGACATCACCATCCTGCCTTGTATTCCGTAGACGGTCACGTGCTCGGGCGGTCAACCAAGCTCAGCCTCTGAGAGCCGCGATGTCGACAAGCGACCTCAACTCGACCCTGAAGAAGCCGGCTAGCATTCGACTCGCCCAACCTATTTTCCCCGTTTCTATACCCTGATTGAGTGACTTCGCGCGTAAATCCACAACCATGAAGCTCGTCCGGTAAGCCAACTGCTGCAGATCGCGCCTGGTGCAGCTGTGCCCGCGAAGATTGCACAGCGACTAATTCCTATCTGCACAGGTTTCTGATGAAGTGCGCCAACGAGACGGTGACGATTGAGCTGAAGAATGGTGAGTTTCCTATCCCTTTATTTCTTCCAGCGCCTGAAGCTCCATCCATCTCAACATCAAATCTAACCACAAATAGGCACCATCCTCCACGGCACCATCACCTCCGTCTCCCCCCAGATGAACACCTCCCTCCGCACGGTCAAAATGACCCCCAAAGGCCGCGACCCCATCTCCCTCGACACCATCAACATCCGTGGCTCCACGATTCGCTACTACATCCTGCCCGATAGTCTGCCCCTCGATACGCTGCTGATCGACGACACGCCCAAGCCGAAGAACAAGGCGCGCAAGGAAGCGGACCGCGGAGGCCGTGGTGGTCGTGGTGGTCCTCGTGGTAGAGGGCGCGGTCGTGGCCGTGGTCGTGGTCGTGGATTCTAAGCTGGACGTGATTGGTATTAGACATTGCGATTTTTTCCATCTTTTACATTTTTATCACTCGAGGATCGGAGATTTTTTCTGTTTCTTTTGTTTTTTATTTTATCTATCCTATGGCTGGATGATTGATTTTGCTTTGAATGGGTGGGTCCAATTCGACACTGGTATAGTCGGTCTGGTCTGGTGGAATAAGCTGGACCAGGCTTGGCTGCGCGGAAAATTGGGAGAGAAAAAGCGGCGGTGATTTACGAAATCTGGGTTAGGTTGCGCGGTGGATTGTCGGGTCTGGTTTATAGACTCCCGAGATGAAACTGCAAGGCAGGTCTGGCGGTGGCGGTCGTATAATCGATGAATGACCGAATCGAATCGAATCGAGATCGAGAAGAGAAGAGAAAAAGTAGTTAGTCTACTTTATATCTATCTAATCAGTGGCCGCGACACAAACACACGAAGAAGAACAGAAATATACACACTTCATACGAAGTATTGTGCAGAAATCAATCATACCCTCGTCTATCATCTCGTCATCACTCATTAGTCTATCCATATCATCCCTATAACCCCCCCAAACCTATACAATAATACCAATAACCATAGACTACTACTACTTTTTATGAAGTAGAGAAATCCCTCCAAACCCTCACAATAACCAACTTCTCCCACCCCGCCTGTACCCCACTACTCCCAACCAACTCAGCACACCACTTCCCCCCTTCCATATCAACATCCCACCCCTGTATCCGTTCCACCACCTCCCTTGGCCGATTCTGCGCACAAAGCAACACATACGCCACGCCCCGTTCACTCAACACCCTCGGAATATCCGCCAACAACCGCTCCGTAATCTCCATCCCATCCTTGCCCCCCGCATAAGTCAACGAGAGGAAATACGACTCCCTCTCGAACTTCTCACTCCTTGACACTTCCTTATCTTCTTCGTTATCCTCCTTACTAGGTAACCGCGGTAACTCTGGCGTAGGCACATACGGCGGGTTGAATAGGAGGATGTCGATCGAGTGGGGACGGATCGGGGAGGCGAGGTCGGAGGTTAATGTTGAGGAGATTAGGGATTCGATTGAGGTATTCTTGGAGGGAGCGCCAGGCTCATCTGTAGAGGTTGCTTGGGATTGTTGTTGTTGTTGTTGCTGTTGCTGCTCCTCAATCGCCTTCAGAACTGTCTGTCTCGTCGCGAGACATGCATTGCGGTTCACATCCGTACCGAGAGCGAGGACATCAGTGCGGCCGAGAATGTGGTGGGAGTTTGCGGTGAGGAAGGCGAGGACGACGCCGGAGCCGGTACCGACCTCGAGGAGGAGAGGGGATGGTGAGGATGTAGAGGGGGAGAAGTGGTTCGTGAGCCAGGCGGATTCGGTGGGGGAGGAGAGCGTATCCAGGAAAAGGTAAGAGTCTTCGGAGGGTTCGTAGATGGTGTCGAAGGAGACGTGGGAGGTGCAAGGGGTGGGGAGCATCTTGTTCCCTCTTTCTTTTCGTCTGATAAAGTCTCCGTTTTAGTGGATTAGGGAGAATTGAAATATGTCTTGGTGGTCAAGAGTGGTGGTGGTGATAGAAATATTGTATGGATTGACTCCGATAACGAGCCAATCATGTCCTCCCAAAAACGGGAATTCCCTGGTGCTGGGGGCTTCTCCGCCTTGGAGGAAACCGCGGCAGTATCGCGCATTTCATCATTCCATCATTCCCCCGACTTCGTCTACTTGCCAATTGCCAACTTACGATCCCAAAGTCACCTCGAAGAGAGGAGAAAATCAGCATGTCCTTCCTACGCTTCACCCCCACGGCAGCCCGCCGCCTCGCCACGCCCTCCACCTTCGGCTCCAAATCCAGTCTTTCCGAGACCTTGGCCCTGCTACCGCCGCTGCAGCTCTACCGTCGCATTCTCCGCGTGCACCGCAAGAAACTCGATCCGGAGATGCGGATTCTGGGTGATGGCTATGTAAAGAGTGAATTCCGGGCTCATCGGAATGTGGATAATCCGTTGCATATTGTATACCATACCCACTTTCATAATCTAGTTCGTGTCTGGTCTTGTGGATTGCTAATGACATGGTGATTTGTGGCAGATTGGTTTCCTCACGGAATGGCAATTATATGCGCAGAAATTGGAGGGAGATGCGTGGATTGGGGAGAAGTTGGATAAGAGTAAATTGGATAAGATGAGTGGTGAGGATACTTATTCTTCTTCTTCTCTTTTGTTTCTGCTTGAGATGGTCGTGTTGGCTTTGAGTGTGTACTAACTGGAAGGCAGATCAGCAAATTGGGCAGCTGTATGAGCTTATGCAGGCGATTCAGAATAAGGATGGGGAGGGAGAGGGAGAGGGTGGAGAGAAGCAATGATTGTGATAGATGTTTAAGAAGGGGGGTAGAGATATATGTTGGATACCCTGTGATAAGTAACTGTATGATATGGTTTTTAGTTGATGGATTGTGTAGAATATGTATATAGAGGTAAATGAGATGGTTGTAGAGGGTATCACTGATGATAAGGATCGACTTTGTTATATAGTAGGAATCACTACGAATCAAATGTGGCGACATAACTGCAACTATGGATGCCACAGATAATACCAATAATGAAAGGTAAGGATATACGCAAATAGCACAAACCCCATGCTAGAAGTCATGACTCGAGAGAAGGCAATAAAAGAGCTGCTATAGACAATAGAAGAACAGCTACCGAACAGCCGGAAGCCACCCGAAATATCCGAGATCGGGGACTGATAAGCAAAACTGACAAGCAGATAGATATGCATGTCGCATCCCCTCGTCTACTGTTCAAGACAACAGCTCATAGTACTTGCACACAACAATGATCGATCTACAAAAGAAAAAAAAGAAGAAATATATTAGAGTGAGAAGATCAATTGACCACCTTCACCCCCAATCAACTGCACAGTATCTCCCACTCGCCACACCCACCCTCTATCCAAGAAAACCCTTTATAAAACTTAACTATGGTACAAAAACCCATGCCACTGCCCCACCGTACCTGAAAATGAATCAATCAATCAATTTCTCCCATTTCAACTCCATACTATCATCTCTCTAATTTTATGCACGCCCTACCACCGACATCTATAACCCATTCCATTTCATTCCCCACATCAAACCCATACATATACCACAACTGATCCCCTCTCACAATCCCATCCCATTCCCTTCTTCCCTACTACCCTTCCACCACCACAGCCCCCTCTCAACTTCTAAGAAGTTGAAGAAGAAAAAGAACTTACAAAATGCCCTCCCTCCTCGAAGACCCCACCACCCAAATCCCCGCCCCAACCCCTACCCCCTCCCTCCAACCTATCTCACGCACCCTCCGCGACGGCACAAAAATCACCCTGTACCCCATAACCACCGGCCCCGATGCCCTCCCCTCCTCCCTAATCCACTATCTGCACAAGGAATTCTCCTCGGAGATTCTCAAGGGATGTACATACCCCATGGAAACCCCGCTCGAGTACGATCTGTATCGGACGTACTGGTTCGGGACGTTTGCAGTGGTGGCTGTCATTGACGATGGTGGGGATGGGTTGAGGGAGGGCAGGGATTGGGAGAGGGACTGTTTGGGGACGTTTTATGTGAAGCCGAATTATCCTGGTATTTCTCTCTCTCTCTGACTTATCTATTTGGTTTGTTGATGTGTGTGTATGTGGGTTATGCTAATGGGGGGGCTGTAGGACGCTGCTCGCATGTTTGTAATGCGGGGTTCTTTACGACGCCGGCAGCGAGGAATCGTGGTGTGGGGAGGGTTATGGGGGAGGTTTATTTGGAGGTGGCGCCGGTTTTGGTATGTCTCTCTTTTGGCGTTGTTTTCTTGGGGATGGTGGAGGATGCTAACTGGGATATTAGGGATACAAATACTCCGTGTTTAACCTCGTCTTTGAGAATAATGTCGCCTCGGTCAAAATTTGGGAGAACTTGGGCTTCCAGGTTATTGGTCGTGTGCCTGGTGCTGCGCGTTTGGCAAACAGTCCTGACCTCGTCGATGCTCTTATCATTGGAAAATCTTTGGTTTAATTGAATATAAAATAATATACATATGTAATATAAAAGTGTATTGCAATTAAAAGAATACCCCAGTACAAGACGCTCCCTTTCAATCAATGAATACGCCCTAAATCAATGCGAGTGGGGAATCAATCTAACAACCGGCTTCAAGCAATCTGGTATATGACACCACTGGCTCCCGAACCGCAATGCCAATATGCATAGTACATGAGTGTGTGAAGTTAATGCGAGATCGAACAACGGAAATGCTAGAAATCAAAGACCCCCGGAAATGCTATATCACATAGTATGGTGTGTTCCCGATTACCGCCATGGCGGCCGCTCTCCGAGCTTGCTGCGAGGCGTCGGGTTGTTCTTCGGCAATGGGATCAAGCTGATCCGCCGGTTCGCGGAATGCCCCAGCGCGGTGCCTGGCCGCGGTGTCTTCGTTGGACTGGCAAGATTTCGTTCGTGGTCGTGCGACACACTGCGGCTGAACGACAGCCCCGCAAAGCTCTGTCGGCTGCGCGGCGCGTTCGACATGCCGTCTGGCCGCCGGAGCTTGCTGTAAGGAGGGGGATCGAGGATAGTTCGATTAGGTGTAGGAGAGCCCATGCGCTCTGGGCTGCGATTCGTCAGCCGGCTTGAAACACGACTCATAGAGCGCGCCGTCATCGGTGCCGGAGAGACCGACATGTCGCGCCGGAACGGTCCCATAGGTATGGTCGACGAGGGCCGCGAAGTGCGGCCAGGCGCAGAAGCCTTGCGGGGAGTAGGGTTGGGTTTATACACGTGGCCGACATACAAATCGTTCGTGTTGGTGCTGTTGGTCCAGCGCGGACGGTTGGGAATGGGTGACGGCGCCGGCTTGACCGGCTTACGCGCAGCAGGGGTGGGTGTGGCGGCGCCCATTCGACTCGGTGACGGCGCAGTGAGCGTGGGCTTGGGGAGAGCCGACTTCTTGCTCGTCAGCGCGGCCGTCGCCTGCGGGATGCCCGAGTACCGTCGCATTTTAGACATTGTCGTCCGCGCTGCAGAGCTGACTGAGCTGCCACGTCGACTAGATGTTCCCATAGGCGTGGCAGAGCCCTTAAGGGGGTTGGCAGGCGTCATCACCACTGATGATGCCGGGGAGCTTCCCGGAGTATCGGCGACACTGCCGGTCAGAGGACTGTCCATCGTCATGATACTCGAGATCGAGTCCCGGAGATGCTGTGATCGGACAAAGTTAATGTCCTCCAGCCACTCATCCATCACCCGGACACTCGCCTTCAAAGCGTCGACCCTCGAGGTCATGTCCGACAGCAGTCGCAGAATCTCTCCGTTCACCGTCAGTCGGTCGTCGACACCCTTGCGAATAATCGACACTACTCGTTCAATTGCCGCGACATAGTGCTGCTTTTTAGCCTCATAGCTTTCGATACGTTTCGTAAACAACGTTGCATCATGCAAATGGGCGCATGTCTCGATAGCCTCCTGCAGTTTGGCGATGCTCCGTTCCACCGAGTCAAACATTTTCTGCGCCTGTCCGCCCGCGTTACGGAACACGAGGATCCACCGGTCTTCGTTGAGCTCCTTCTGCAGCGCATCTGCATCATGCTCCAGCTTTTGGAAGCTTTGTTCGAGATGGCCCCGCCGCTCCTCGAGCTCCTCACAAGCGCTGGGAAAGATTTTCTCGGCCCGCGCTTGGAACATGGACATTCTCATCGGCAAGAAATCAAGCGACGCTCGCAACGGTTGTATTCGCGCGAACAGCGCAATGAGGTTCGAGTGATTTGTATCGTCATGTGGCGTCTGAATGACAGGCATATCCATCGTAGGGGGTCCGGTAAGTATGGGGTCTATGCTGAGCCGTTTGCTGGACAGCAGTTGCGCCTGCGACGGGGTCTCTTCCACGATAGTCTCCAGCTCATTGATGTCGAGCCCGGAGGCGCTAGAGTCCTGCTCGCCTGCCAGCGTCCAGTGCCGTTTTTCTTCCATCTCGAAGATCAGCCCGGTGAGACTCTCCACCTCCACCGTCACATCGCCCAAGACATTTCCCCACAGCTCTTCCCACTCCATTGCCAGCTCAACTTGTCCTTTAACCCCCCGAAGTCGATTCTTGATGTGGGCCCAGCTTTGTATGATCGTGTCCATCTGCACGACAATCGTCTGAAGGCTATCGGTGCTAACGTCGCCAATATCCTCGCGCAGCTGCACTTCCTCGATCGCCCTGACATAGACGTTGATCAGGCTCTCGAACCGGATAATCGCTTTGTCCACCCCCTCCAGACCTTCTCGTCCGGCCGCAGCTGCCCATTCCACGTCATCCTCCGCATCCAGTCCCCCTAGCACATCCGATGCCTTCTTAACCCATATCTGGATTTGTTCCGCGGCTCCGGTAAGCGCCCGAACCGCCGCAGGGGCGGTTGCAATGGATGAGATACTAGCCTCGAGCGACGACGGTTGCGGAAGGGGGATAGATGTGAGCTGGGAGAGTTGATTGCTAAACGAGGCGCGCGAAAACGAGTAGATGGACTCGGTGCGCTGCAACCCTTGGGGGTTGAAGTAGGATTGTGAGCTTAAGGAAGTGGTCGATCGTGGACGTGGGGAGTCTTTGGGCGGCGGCGGGGGTGGATTCGAATCGTCATCATTGGTGCTCTGTATGTATTTTTCGAAATCTGTCTGCTCGGGGACGTCATATTCGGGAGCTGGCCTGGGCTCTAATGGCGCCGGAGCATGCTCAACGACAGACATGTCGGTTTGGGGCTCTTCCAGAGTAGCCTCTACCCCAACAGCGTCTTCCGCAACAACTTCTTCTGCAACGCCTTGCTCTGCAACAGCGTCTTCCTCAATAACCTCTTCCCCAACAGCCTCAACCTTCACTGCCTCTTCCTCAGCCTCTTCAACCTCGTCTGGGAGCGGGGCCTCTTCCAGCTCTTGATCCGAAGGTAGATCCAGGGGACGATCCGAGTCGGGTGTCGGTACCTCCTCCAACTCCTCTGGGGTTGCTTCCGGTAGCTGCGGTTCGGGGACCTCTAAATGACCGGATTCACTTTCGTGAGATTTCTTATCCTTGTGTAACCGAGGCAGAGCATTCCATGAGCGACCCTTCTTTTCGATCTTGATGGATTTGGATAAATCCTGATGCGATTTGTCGAGTTCTTTGATTTGTTCCTCGGGAATCCGACCGACGGCGCCGGGGTTGCGAGAGGGACTGTTGTGTTTGTTACTACCGTCTAGTAGCTTGACGCGGGCAGCCAGGCCGGGGGACAAGCGACGGAGAATTGACGGGCGGACAAGAGTCTTGTCGAAACCGAGGTCGTGTTGTTGTTGGTTATCGTCGGGTTCACTGCTACTGCCCAAGCTGCGGAGGCTTCGTAGGGACGACTTGGACTTGATTCGTCGCGGTCTTGACTGGTCGGCATGGGAGATAGACAGGGCGGGTGGAGGAGGAGGAGGAGGGGAGAAGAACTGCGACGTGGACAGGTTGGCCCCGGCATCCGGGGGGTGGGTGGTCGCAGTGGTAGCCGTTGACGCGGTGGACATGGCACGCATGGATGCGATCCACGAGGGGATGGGCGCTGGCCTGTAGGATCCCAGGGACTAGTCGATTTAGTGAAGAACGACGGTGGGTAGAGGAATGTGGTTGATGGGCTGACGATGCGCCAACGCTGCGGCTGGGCTATGTCAGCTAGTATGTGCTTGGGTAGTAGTAAGTAGTGCAGTTTGCGTTCCCTGTCCGTCTGCTGCCCCTATCCGGTTTCAGCCTGTCAGATTATAAGAATGGAGCAATCGGGCTGTGAATGTGTAGGCGGTCGGGCTACACCGTCTGTGCTCTTTGGTTGTGGTTGAATCGGTTTGCTTTCTTGCTTGCTGTATTTTATCTCTTTTCTCCAACACCAATGTAAGAAGAACTGCTTTTCGACAAGAATGACTGGCTACATGATAGACGATTGGGCAGCAGAGGGGCAGACATACTAGCAAGGGAAGAAGAGGGAGGGAGAAGAAGGAGGCCAAGCCAGTTGGTTGGAATGGAGGATGAACGGCAACCTGTCCCTTTCGGGCCTCAGGCGGGCAGCCGATCACCCGTTTGGGGAGAAATAACGGGGGATAATCCTCGCAGTCTAGGGGCACGACTCCCTTTCAATCATCAGTAAACTCTATCCTCGAGGGAATGGTAAATAACCAAAATTGACTTTGCCTGACCGTTACACCAGTCCGGTTCCCTGGGTATTTTCCCTGTCTTTCTTCATCTCCTTGAATCTTCCTTCCTCCCGTCTGAGTGGCGTTTGGTCGGTTGGTTTACTTGGTATGGTTCTCGTATCCAAACATGGCATTCTCGCTACCAGTTAGGCCATTCCTATGTACAGTCCATCCATGGATCCCTCCCGCGACCCCGTGCAGGATAAATTAGAAAGAAGATCAGACAAGATAAGAAGGAAAAAAGAAGAAACAAAGATAAAGGTGTGTTCTGCGTTGAACACACAGCAGCCCCATGGACTGTAGATGACCAAAAAGTTGAATTTATACGCCTCTCCCAGCCTTGTCCGGCTGGGAGGGCAGCAGAAGAAATGAGGAGTGACACCAAAAAAAAATTCAAACCCGACTGCACTCCGACATGTAAGGGGTATCAATGGGCGTCGGAGTAGACAGCAAACAAATGCAATAACCAGTCGCCATACGTGGTCCCAATCAGTTTCAACCAGTCCCAATCATTACAACTCTTCTTTCCTCCCTCTCCAGCGAAGTTGTTAGTTAGTCATGTAGACCCTTTTTCTTTTCCCCAAAATTTCCCCTCACATCGGCCGCACCACCAGATCGTCGGGTGGAAGGCTCGCTGCTGAAGCTCGCCTCTCGCGCCAGTCTCGCACGAGCTCCTCGCGCACCACTTTGCACCAGGCCAGAAGAGCCTGGTCGAACTGTTTCCAGGCCTCTTCACTGTTGCCATGCACGATCCCCATCACATCCAGCTCCAGCTTGGTTTCCCACCGGAGCTCTGCCGCCTTCACCCAGAAACGAAGGTTTTCGGCACGCCGGTAGGGCTTGGCCACGTCCTGATGGTACGTTTTGATGTCAAGAAACGGCCGCTTCGAGTTCTTGACGGCAAAGTTATGGGCGCGCACCAGGTCGCGTCCATCGCGCAGCCGTTCCAGCATGGCGGGTGGCGGTGAGCCATCCTCCGGCGCAGTCCATGTCGGCAGCTGCGCGTCGGAGCCGATCAGACTACGCAGGAACAAAGTCTCGCGTTCCCGCTCCTTACCGATCCACTCACCCTCGGTCCAGATCCAAGCGGCTCGTTCTTTGGCTTCGAATGATTCCAGTTGAGCTTCCCGGGCCAACATGTCACGTACATTGGCCATCCATCCGACAATGCCAGATCGCTCATCCTCGCGAAGGCCATCCGCAAAGTTTCGGGAGGCCCACCGCTTCAGGACCTCCAGCACATTGAACAGCTCTTGTCGGATTTCGCGCTCGCTTTTGATCTTTGCCAGTCGATCGGGCCGTTCATGCGCAGTGTAGTAGATCTTAGCGGCTCGGATCGCAAAAGTGACAGTGTCCAGAACCCGCATGCCCTGGATCTCTTGCCAGGTCTGCGGGGTTGCTTCTGCAGGCTCCTGACGCGAGGGGTCTTCTGCAGTATCGGGCGTATCGTCACTCGAAAGACTAATCCGCGGGGGGATCATCTCCGCCGGCGGGTCCCTTTGAGCATCCATCGATTCGATACTGTGTTCGGCTTTCTCCAACGCGTCCCGCAGATCCTTCCGCAGAGCCTTGAGTTTAGGTGGCGGCGGGATGTGGTGCGTTTTGATACTGTAAGTGCTGACCGTAGGAGGCAGCATGACTTCAACCTCCTCGTCATACACCTCCTCCCTGGGATCTATACTTTCACTTTCGTCATCGGTGGGACTGGCACTCGTGGGACTGGTAGTCAAGTCATCGATAAACCGAGCATTGGGGGTCAAGAGGAGTCGCGGCATATCCTCTGGCTTCTTCTTCTTTTTGAATTCCCGAGCCTGGGCACCTTTGCCGTCCAATAGACCAGTTCGTGCAAAGTAGTATTGCAGATGAGCGATGCTACCCAGGCTCATGACGCTCTCCCGGTTCTTGGCGGACTCCGCAAACTCAACCCCCTGAGGGCGAATGTATCCTCGTCGCTTGGATGAGATAGAGACGGAAGACCTGGCATCGGCCGAAGTGGCGGAAGAAGTCGACAGAGAGGAAATGGTCGAAAATGTACGATCTGGTGACGGACAGGAGGAGATAGCCGGCGTCGCTGGGATAGAGGGGGAGGGCGACGAGGCTCGGACAGGGGCCATGAATTCAGGCTCGACGGATTCATCCATATTGGGCGCACGTTAAGCTTGGGACGGTTCGTTTGATAGGAAGGGTTGGCACTTTTCGCAGACGATAGATCTTAACGGTATGGCGTTGGAGGGCACAGATCCAGTTTGGGCGAGAGATGGATATGCCTCACACTAAGCAGGAAAGGACAGGTGGTCGTCGGGGGGGAGCAGGAACCGTTTTGACGTGATTAAAATTAGGGATAGGGCCTCGGATGAGTGACTGGTGATGGTGATCGATCGGCCGACGAATTTAATTTGGGCGTGACTCGAAAGGGGGATTTTTACCACTAAAAGGGGAAGCGGGTCGATGGCCGCGGTGCCAACTCGTCGGCCACCGGGAGTTGTCGTGGTACTTTCTAGATAAGTAAGTCGTCTTGCGCTGTTATTTATAGCAGTTGCCGATTGCTTTCTTTTTCTCTCATTTGTTCTCATTCAGCTCGCCCCTGAGGTAGGGCTGTTCGCCTCATCACCAGAGTCAGGTTCATGATTCCGAGCTCCCAGATATCGGCCTCCTTTTAGGAAGAGCTGGAAGGGAATCAAGCAAAGCGTCCCAAGAAAGTCATCCGGCCGGGCGGCCCTTGCCCTGCCTGGGCTTAGCGCCTCCCCGGTGCCTGGAAGCCCCGCATCCAAACTTCGGCACGGTTTTCCATCCATCTTCGCGCTCAGGAACACCCGCTCCCATCACTGGTGGGATATATCACTCCTGAATCATTTCGGAGCGGAAACTTAAAACATTATCCATGTTCATAAATTTCATTATTATCATCATTGAGGGGAGATCTATTCGCTGAAGACAAAGGTGCTAATCTAGGAGCTTTCGAACACCAACACCAGGTTGATAAGCCCGATGTTGCACTGACAAGAATATGCTGACGCTCAAGCCGCATTGTAGACCCGGTCCAGCCGGATATCTGTGAAAGAAACCAAATATCTGGCATGTGAACTTAGATCACCTCCTCCCGCTCCCATCCCATGGGTTTCAGGTCTGCAATCCCCTTGTTCAGATGCGCCTTTGTCGGATCCTTGTACTTGGCGGCATATGGGTTGGGGTCGATCGCCTGGTTTAGGTTTCCCAGTGTATGGTTCACCTCCCGGTGTTTGGCTTCATCCGCCCGAACATACAGCAAGAGATCCTTCATGCTGCGCTGACCCTCTGGCATCTTCCAATATTGCACGGCGATCTCAGGGGCCTCTGTCTTCTCCCACACGGGAAGACTTCCAGCTTCAATCTCCTTGATCGCCCGAGTATATGTGATCACCGCTTCCTCTTCGAGATAACCGACGAACCGGTGGCAGATCCGTGGCGACATGAGGTAAGACAGGAAGAATCCGTTGAAGAACACCCCCTGTGCTCCAAGGACCATCAGGCGCATGAACCATCCGGGCTCTGCGAGCTTGAGGAAGGTCAGCAAATGCATACGTTCATTGTATGCTTCCTCTAGCAGTGTCTCAATCCTAGGCGGCGGTCAGTGTCATCTTTGACAATTGTGGGGAGTAAGCATACCATCCATTGTCTCTCTTCATGCGCCGCAAACTTCTCAAATGTCTCAGCATGCCTCCGACCATGCCTGGTACGCCAGCCACGCTTTCCAGGAAGATAAAGCGCGTAAGCCACTTCTGCTCTGTCATCTTGAACCTAGCCTCGTGTTCCCTTCCTGGTGGAGGGTGCCGATATCCAGTCACAAGATCCATGCCCCATCTCAGCATCCGCACCGTTCCCAACGCTACCCAGTCGGCCCAATTCTTTGCGTCACGGTGAGCGATTGCGACTTGTTTCATCTGCTCTTCAGTATAGCTGGTATTGTCAGCTTCCACTCAGTACCATGCATACATCAGAGATGAACTTACACAGGATGGACCCAAGCTGTTTCCACCTCCTTCACATGAGGAGCTGTCGGGGGAGGAAAGAATTCCTTGATCTGCGACTTGGGTGTGGTTGATATGAATCGCTTTCCAGCTGTCTGATGTCTGTTTGCCACCAACGACCCGCTACAGCGCAGACCGTTCATAGCAATGACATTGGAGTAATTTCGAGTCGCGATATGCATATATGACTTTGGAATAGCAGCCCGAATGGGCGCCGTGGCTGTTAACGAATTCATCGGGTATAGAACCACAGTGGGTATGATACTGTAGTAGTAGAAAATAATAAGTTGATGTCAATGAGAAGAAACCCAGCAAAATGTTCACTTCTTGATCGATGTCTTATGTATCTGACTGATTAGATGTACAACCCCCTCTATAACCACAACCCTATTTATACTATCAGCGCCAGCAAAATTTTCAACATCCATTCATTGTCTCATCTTCAGGGTATGACTCTACAGGGCAGAGGGTCGGCAAAAGCCGGGAGTGGCACTGGCCCCGGAACCATACATACAAGACGGCAGGAGTGAAAGTCACGCGGATCGAAAAGATCCGGATCCATCTATACCAAGGGCTCAGGATCCAGTGGAGGCTCGCAGATATTACTATCTTAGCATTAACGCTCAAATTCGCTCAGCCACGTCTACAGTAGAGATTTCCAAGCAATTCCGGGTCCATGGATGATGACGTTCGGGGTGATTGTCGATCTTCTTGACAGGGATTTTACAAGGTCTGGGTTAGTTACCAGTGCCGCTGTTGTTGCCACACCAGGGACGGTCGGTTGCCTTCTCTCTGTATCTTGTTACATTCTATGTGTATCACTGTTGGTGTGTTGTGTTGATTATAAGCCTGAATTCTTGATTCTGGATGTGATTAATCTTAAAATAGTACTTAATTACAGTGCTGAATACGAAGTGTTAGGTATGCAAGACTTAAATTCAGGAATCTGCCCATGTTTATCAGACATAAGGTAAGACTCTTCCCCATTACTTACAGCGTTTCTCCCTATGTCTTTCACCATCAAGAAAGATACAGAAGATGTAAACTAGCGTTGGCAATAGCCCAACTACTACAGGCTCGGCATCGAATTCCCCAATCCAAGTATGTACACCGCAGATCCTTTATCGAAACCATTGAATTCCCAGGCCTCAATAGCCTACCCTACCTCAACACCCATTACTAGCGGGTACGACTACTAACTAGACTCGACTCCCTCGCATTCAATTGACACTTCGTAACCAAGTTAAGCTCTAAGCGCCTGCATGTACCGGTGGGTCGGTCACTAGATCATCTAGGAACCAGCGCAGCCTAGAACTTACGCAGAAGGTACGGAGGTATCAAATGCCTCTTGATAGGAATATTCGATAACCACACCTGAAAGTTGGATCTCGATAATAAGCATATAGCTATTTGGTGTCTACTATCTACTCTCCAAGTGGAAGCAAATCTAGAATCCTTCCCATTATCCTTCTGGCAGAAGATGAATAAGAGGAAATTTCGGCGTAAGTTCGCTGCTGTTATCTGATTACGGGCTTCATCTTGTATTGTTGGATTCGGGTCTGGTTCCCGTGACTGGGATCCCCTTGTTTTACTAGTAGTTCTATCGGCATTTCATGTGCTCGGTGTCTGTCGAATGCGAACTCCGTGGTTAACTGGTTAATTCTTTGTTCGGGCTGGGCTGGGTTATTTTTGATCGGCGATTCGGGGGCAGTATATGGGGTTTGGGTCTTGGTTTGTTGGGGGTAGTTCGTGTAAATGAGAGTATGTCGAATGTGGTTATGCTTGGAAATTCACTAGTAAATACTCTTCCCTTTTGCTTGCAATTGTTGTAATATAATGATAACTTAAGAACATTTGTAATATGCGATGAAGGATCGAGAACAACAGCGAGAAGATCCCCTACTAGTTGTGATCCCCCGTGTTCTGGTATGGAAGGTCGCCTTACCGGGAGAACCCGGAACGCCGTTTGAGTCAAGGGATGCCGAAGATAGCTCGGGATTGAGCCGGGGTCTGCTCGCTCCATTCATCACTGGCCTACGACGTCAGACAGGGGCCGGTGAGCATATTAGAAATAGACTGTTTGTTGTTTCTCCTGTATTTTCCGTTTCATGCTGTCATTGATCATGAAGAGCCTGGCTTGGCTTTCGGGTGATTTCTCAATACGAGGTTTGTCGGAGGGGCGAGGATCAACACATCGCTATTTGCTAGTTGTGATTTGTGACATAAGAACAAGAAACTGTTTAAAGACCGCAGACTGCAGAAGCAAAAGTCTGTATACAGAGAGATATCACTGCATAGCCTCATACCCTGACTCCGAAGTCTTCATGAACCCGAATTCTACCTCGCCATCCTTTGGTGCAATTTCCTTCTTCTCTAGCTTGACGACATGTGCATGGCGAGGCCCGTTGTTGATGTCTTTGAGGAACTTTTGTAGAGAATCCTCGGTCCCTTGGGCTTCTCCTTCTACCTGTATGGTTTTAGTATACGTATCTTATCTGATGTCAACATGAAAGGAGGCTCATAGAAAAATAAGAGAGAAGTGTCAGATGCTGAGTGTAGTGGAGATAGTACAGACCCTTCCACAATGTGTGTTCTTCACCCAGCCTTTTACATCATATTGGGTGGCTCTCTTCTGAGTAAAGTCCCTATAGATCGCGGCATGCTTAGCGAGAAGTGCATCTCCAGCGTGCAGAAGGCCGGGTATAATTACCGGAATCCCACCCCTGCAAGATTATGCGTTAGACTTGTTTGCCACAGAAGAAATGCTTTCACGGTTGTTGCTTAAGGAGCATTGACGTGAACTTGCCTTGGACCGTGCCAGATACTTTGAATGCGATCTGGGGTAGTTATGTTAGTCCATCTGTTATAGATGACGTAGCGACCGAGGGGATGGATGCTTTGTGTATTGGGTGAGATCTGGGGTGAGGGGCTTACACGTTGCGATGCCATCTTCATAGATGTATATGTCCTCCTCCAAAGCATGAGAAAGATATTACTGATGTTTTTGTCTCTGATAGAGTGTGGTTATGTTCTATTGAACCTGGTGAGGCAGGCAATGAGCTTAGTCATCTGATATCATGAGGGGATGCGACTACATACGCTAGCCTCGATTGGGTCAGATACTGTCTGTGGCCAATCAATGCATATTTATCTGGATTAGTCACTTATCGAGCCAGTTCAAGTGCACGATAACTACTAAATTGTAATTAGATCAAAGTTTTAGCTCTTAGATGAGTTTAGATGAAGATGATACTTCATGTGTATGATGCTGTTTCAAGTAGGATCAGTAATGACTGTTCTGGAAGGCAGTACAGATTGTTGTCAGCGGCATAACCAGCAGCCCGTGACCCCAGCGGAGATCCGCCCCTGAGCCAAAAATGGAATTCGCGATGATCTCCCCAACATTCGTTCCTGTTGCTCTCCGCACTCCGTCTCTTCGGTGTCTCCCCTCTTCCATTGTTTTTGAGGGGTTGCACTGCGCAATGCTAGTGCTAAGATGCCTCTTTCAGGACTCTCGTGGCTTCGGAGATTATACTCCCTCGATACTCTAGATACTCGTCTTACTACCTCTTCTACTACTCCGCCCAAAGCTGCCGCGGGTCACACGCGAGCTCCCTCCGCCAGAGATGCCCGTGCCATTGCGATTGCGCGCAATGCTCCCCCTCCGAAATGGAGGACCTTTGAGTTTTACATCTATTATGTGATTTTCTTGATTGCTGTGCCGTTGATGTTCATCACGGCCATCGGGGTATCGCAGGGTAAGCCCGAACCACTTGTCTGTTGCAAGAGAGCAGCTATGCGTTGCAAGAGAGCAGCTATGCTGACTTGACGATGATGTAGAAAGCCATCCTTCATATCCGACTTACGCTCATCTACTGTCGCCTGGCTGGATACCTGGACGTCAAGTTGTAAGTAGCTCGTTCAATCGTTTTAGGTCAGACGCTGACTTCTTTGTTCTGCTAGGACAACTCCGATGACCAGTATTCCTCGTTCCGCGATAACATACCCTACCTGTTGCTGCTGCTTGTCGGACACCCATTGCTTCGCCGTGTATATAACAGCTATGTACGCCCAGTCACTGGAGATACCGGGGCCTCTAAGGCTTCCCCGACTGTTCTTGCTGCGGATGCTCGTCTCAATCAGCGGATAAGCTTCGACTTTTATTTCGCGCTTGTCTTCATCACAGCTCTTCACGGTGTTTCCGCGCTGAAGGTCCTCGCCATCCTATATGTGAACTACAAAATCTCCAAGAATCTTCCCAGGAAGTACATCCCTGCGGCGACCTGGATGTTCAATATCGGAACGCTGCTTGCAAATGAGCTCTGTGCCGGTTACCATCTGGAATGGGTGGCTTCTTTGTTCGTGTCTCCGGGTAGTACCGACAAGGAAGCACCCTTGGTACTTTGGGGTCGCTACCTTGATGGTTTCGGGGGTATCATGCCTCGATGGGAGATCCTCTTCAACATCACGATCCTTCGGTTGATTAGTTTCAACATGGATTACTATTGGAGCCTCGACTACCCCGCTGCCAGTCCCATTGAAGTAAGTTTATTTCCTTCTCGGTACGGAATCCAATCTGACAGATATAAGAAGAAACAGGTCGATCCTGCAGCACTGTCAGAGCGTGACCGTGTCAGTATCCCCGCGGAACCAGCTGCGTTCAATGGGCGTTATTACCTTGCCTATGTTCTCTATGCTCCGCTTTACCTGACAGGCCCTATCTTGACCTTCAACGACTACATTTCCCAACAAAGATATGCACCTCCATCTCTCACGCGGACCCGGACAGTCCTCTATGGCATTCGCTTCTTCTTGACACTTCTCGCCATGGAGTTAATACTACATTTCATCTACGCCGTGGCTATCTCGAAAGCTTCCCCCGACTGGTCCTTGTACACAGCCGGCCAACTCAGCATGCTGGCATACTTCAATCTGCATATTATCTGGCTCAAACTTTTGATTCCATGGCGGTTCTTCCGTTTCTGGGCATTAGTCGACGGGATTGATCCGACCGAGAACATGATACGCTGCGTTTCGAACAATTACTCTCCCTCCTCCTTCTGGCGCGCATGGCACCGCTCTTTCAACCGTTGGATTGTGCGCTATCTCTACGTGCCTCTGGGTGGAGGCAGCAGGGGAGGTTCCGACCGCGGCAAATCTTCCGGTCTCTACGCCAAGGCCCGTCAGATCTTCAACACGCTTATTGTCTTCACCTTCGTTGCTCTCTGGCATGACATCAACCCTCGTCTCCTCATGTGGGGCTGGCTTATAACCCTCTTCGTTCTGCCCGAAGTCATCGGCAGACTACTGTTCCCTGCCAGCCGATGGCGTTCTCACCCTACAGCGTACCGCGTCCTTTGCGGAGTGGGAGCTGTTGGCAACGTTCTAATGATGATGATCGCGAACCTGGTTGGATTCGCTTTAGGATTGGATGGTTTGGAAGGCCTTCTGGCTGGAATATTGGGATCCTGGGCCGGCATCATCTACCTCATCTCAGCGTGCTGTGCTCTTTTTGTTGGAGTGCAGGTCATGTTTGAGATTCGTGAAGAGGAAGCACGGGCTGGTATTGACTTGAAGTATTGATTTTATTTGTGAATATTATACAGCGGTTGCTTAGACGCATTGTTAGATTTGGAATGGCAAAATAAGTTGCATATAGTAGGGTATCACAAATTTTCAAGTAGATAAATATATCGCTGGCGTCAATGTGGGCCGTCACTAGTAGGGAAATGCATCCGAACTTCTCCGTGGTTGAGAGCGGCTCTGTCAGCCTATCCAGTAGTAACGGCCTGAGCTTGGAGTCAAAAGTTGGATAGTACAGTGCTGTCTGCACATCCCTGGCCATCTTAATCCATCAAAGTACCTCATCCTCCCAATTAGAAAAACGCCCCGCACCTCGAATCCTCATGAACCTTATAACAGCCCAACCCACAAGTCCTCAAATGACAATTCTTGCACCGAATCTTCCCCCAATACCCACACATACAGCAGAAATACCGCGGCGATTTTCTCGCAATCGGCGGGCCAGCGCGCGATGCATGATACGTTAACGGTGGTTCGGAGAGTAAGGCCTGCATGATGCGTTCTGAGGGCGCGGAGGGGATGTACGATTTCAGGAGGGGGTCGTTGTCGTATTCGGATTTGATAAGTTCGTGAGGGTTTTGCTGCTCCTCCTCCTCTTCATCCTTTTTCTCTGCGTCTTTGTTTTGGGTTTGGTCTTTGTCGGGCGCGGGTGTTTGTGCCTCTGTTTCTGTTTCGGCGGGGGTAGTTACGGTTGAGGCGCGGGAGGAGGTCGGAGCGGTGGAGGGTTGATGTTGTTGTTTGCGATTACTGCGAGAGGAGGTGTCGGGTTTGGGTGTTGGTGCTGTTAGGGGTGTTGAGCTGCGACGAGAGGAAGAGGAGGGTTTGGTGATTTTGTTAACGGAGGGGCGATGCGAAGATGAGGTGGAGGCTTGTTGGGTTTGCTGCGTGGATGCTTGCTGCGCTAGGGCGGCTTCTTCATCGTCGAGATAGTTGCGGAAGGTCTTTTGGGATTGGAGGATTCGTCGGACGTTAGAGGTGACTTTGCCTCGTGTTCCTGGTGAGGTTATAGATGTTAGGAGGGTATGTCCTCATGATTATAGGGGCGGATGTATGTATATTGCATACCTCGACCAGATGCATCCTTCTGTTTTACTGGAATTGAGATCTGCACGTCCCGGTGATTCTCGCGATCTAGCTCCGCGAGATGTCGGACGATGGCATTGTTCTGTCGCGAGGAGATGTCCGCTCGGCCTGGATCGCGGATTCCGCGTTTGCGGCCGATGGCGGGCGTGATGGCGGCTTTGGCTGGGTCGAAGCCGCGATCGGGGACGTAGGTCCACCCGGGAGTGGCGTGGGTGGTTGTGCTGTTGGGGAGGAGTTCGACGTGATACATCTTAGGAGAAGATGGAGGTCATAGTTTAGTTCAGGAAAGTAAGTAAGTGCAATAGACTTGATGGATTTGAATCTCCGCGAAAATGGATGGTCGAGACGGAGATGGTCCCGTGCCGTAGTTTGTCTTGTTTGCAGGTAGCTTTGCTCGATGACGCCAGCGACTCGCCGCCAACTGGTTGATATACTACTAGATAACTGAGGAAGATATTCATGGCAAATATTAGTGTACACATAGGTAAATCCTTTTCGTATACAGGGCTGTTGGTTCATTACGCGACCCTCCGTCGCTGTTTCACTCCTGGCGCTCACCCGTGCCAGACCCTGCAATTTGAACTAAGAAACATGATTGATGCTAAGACCCGAAGATGAACTTGAGCGGTAAAACAGAAATGGGAATATGAATGCCCGGACTAGCTGTGACAGAGTGAACAAATGAAAGGATTGAATGAACAGGGTAATAAGTTCCGCATCAAATGAGAATGTTCAAGCCTATTTCTTCTTCTGCAACTGGTCGACCTTCCTTTCTAGTTCCCCAATGTACGTCTGCAGCTTTTGTGTAGCTCCTTGAAGAGCCTGATTACCTTATTAGTAGCTCTTAAGAAAGCCAGATAAGATGAAAAAGATATACGTACGATGATATCTTCTGTCAGCATTTCGTTCGCGATCCTGTACTCGCCCAGGATATAGAAGTAGACTCCGGCGCTGGCAGCAATCGCGCCAGTAAGGAACCCAAAGAGACTAGTTCATAATCAGTAAGCGAGTAGACCTTTGGATCAAGTGCAACTCAGAACTAATCATACCCTCCGCGAAATGCGCCCACGGGCTTCTTCGTAGGCAGAGTGGGAGCAGCCTCCCTCATGAAGGGAGAAGAGACCGAAAAGCTCCGCGCCGGGACAAATACCGACTTGGTTGCGACGGAGCGCAGGCCGGGCAACATTCTCTTGCACGCGTTCATGGTCATGAACTAGTTGGTGATCTGCAGTTGCGATCAGCACAGAGCATCGCTAGGTAAGATTATCAGGTTTCTTCTCACGTTGGAAGGAAATGAGGTTGGGGGCGCTGGGGAGAGCTCGGGATGAGTGACGTTGGCGTCGCTGTTTTGGGCGGAGACTGCGGCTGCTGCCGGCCCAATTATCCACGGCGCGTCTCCGATCTCCTTCACCCCATCTATGCTGCTGGTTATTGTATTTGCCGCCTACAATTGGTCCCAAGTGCTATTGGTGGCTGACCTACGTGCGGAGATGCTACTGGATTGTTCCATGGATACAACCTCTTTGATACATACCATTATGCGTCCAAAAGGCAAATACAGGAAAAGACATTTCTATCTACCATAGTAAGACAGAGATCGCAGATCTCGGTTGTTACGGACAGCGCGGAGTCTGGCATACAGGCATTGGGTATAATACAAGAGAGGCTCGCTAGGTAACAGGATTGAAAATAAATGAATGAAGCTGTTAGTTAGCCATCGTACTTTCGTTGAACAAGTCCGCCAACAGGTCGTCTCGGCAGACGTCTACCCGCGGATGGCCCATGCTATACGTGCTTTCGAATGCATGGATGCTGAGCTGATCGAAGAACGGCCGAAGGACTCGCTCAACAATCTCATCCTTTGCCGTTTCCCGAATCCAGTCAGCAGTGAGGCTTGGCTGTTTCACCCCCTGGCTAAGATCGGCCGTCTCCCCCAGTCCATCCGACGAGGCCGATCCGCGCGCTCCTAAGCTCTGAGAGATTTCATCAGCGAGCGCCATCGGCTCAAAGCGCTCCGGAGGGTAGACCGCATCTATGGTGTCGGTAACATAAAGCCATTCGAGAAGTTGAAAGTCATCAGGAGCGAGGATAAGTAATGTATCCAGAAGCTTGCACGCCTGTAGCAGCGCATATGGGTTGTACACCTCCTGCTGCTGGCTGAGTGAAACCGCCGAGATGGCTTCCTGAAGCTCGGAGTTTATCAACGGCCAGAAGGGGGCCAAAGTAGTGGCAGTGCTCTTGAGGGCGAGAGCGCGCAAAACCATGAAAACCTCCGACCTGGTGGTAGACGATGGGGACGAGGAACTAGTCGCTCCCAAGAGATCTTCCAATTTCTGAAGGAGTGCAGGTAGCTCTGCGACGAAATAGTCATTGTTGGCAGACAGGATGAGGAGGCTTATCCTGCGGAGATTCAATTGCGCCTTTCGATCCGCTTCTAGACGGGCGGCAGAAGCCCCGACGCCAAACATGATGCCCGCAGTACTCGGCGGAGTTAGTCGGGACATCAGCTCGGACATTCGATCTTTGTCGGCGAGCACCCATTGCCGCAAAAGGTTCACCCAACCGTCTTTTACCAGATCCAGCTGCATCCCGAAGAATTTCGGGTCGTTAAAGGCATCGGATATGTCCTTCTTCCAAATCTTGGAAGCAGCGGGAATCTTGGCAATGTGCTGGAGCAGTGCCATAAAATTCCGACTTACGTTATTTGGAAAGAGGCGTGCGCGAAAGAGAGGCCCGACTATTTTGGTGGAAATCCCAGACACTGCGGAGTTAATACGATCCGAATCGCCCAGGGTGGTTGCGAAGGCGGGCATAGAGGCGGCAAGAATGCTGAGCAGGTCATCTGGTCCAACATGTGGCAGTGACCCACTGTCATAGTCAATGGATGCCCGGCCGAGAAGTGCTGACTCTTGGGAGAGACCCATGGGCTTGCTTGTGAAGATCGCCGTCAGAAGACGTAGGAGTACATCCTAGAAGTTGTCAGCATAGCCACATCAAAGTCAAGATCAGATGAAACATACTCCTAACTCCTTCCTCATCCGTCGATCTTCTCCGAAGCTCGTATTCTCCAATTTCGCCCCAAGGATCGCTGCGAATTCGACTAATCGCGGAAGGATCTGCCTATGCGGGAAAGGATTGCTCAAAACATCTCGTAAGAAAGTAGTGCAATCTGCCCAGATTTCATCGAGAACATCATCGTCAAGTGACCTGGCATAAGTCACTAGGAAACCTGCTAGCTCAGACTCCGTAAGGCTTGCAGTCAAGGTAGACTTGCGGTTGGGTTCCAATGCGGCGGGGTTAGTCCGCGTGTAGATAGAATTAAACACGGCTGGGATTGTGATCTTTGGTCGTGATCCATCCAGCGTGTGGAGCAAATTGATGATCAGAGACGAAGTATCGCTGTCTGACTTTGTCCATACCTCTACCGCAGTTTCAAGACATTCAAGTGCCTCGGCTGTAAACAAATGTTCCAAAATCCGGCGCGATCTATTCCTCATACGCAAAGATGTATACTGGAAAGAGGCCAACGATTCCGGATCTTGAGGGAGGGTGCTTCTTTCAACCGCGCCCCACGACCATATCGAAAAGCAGAGTCTCACGGCGTCTTGGAAGCAAAGCAAAACGGTGAGGCGATTGTTGGCCGCGCTTGACCGAGCATGACTCTGTTCAGACGCGAAGACGCCTGACACCATGTTTCCAAAGAATCCATGATTCTGGTCTGGGCTCTTGGCAGCCGGTACATTGGCTTCTTCCGATAGCAGACGCTCGTGTGCAGTTGCTATGCAAGTCTCGAGACCAGTGAGTAGAGCGATCGTAGCGTGTTCCGAGCGATCTTCGGGCCAACCCTCGGTGCGCTTGAAAGATAGCTGAAGGCTCGCATAAGCCAATTGGATTTCCTTACAGAAGCATTCCACTAACATCAGGATGATCTGAAAGATGGATCCTGCGTAGAGCGGAAGTACTTCGCAAAGCAATATTGTCCACCTCTCGACTATCTCCCGGGAGTTTGGTGAGCTTATGCCTTTCAGAAGGCACTCTAGAAGCTGCTGAGGGGGCTGAGGCAGAGGTGGCAATGCAAGAGACTTATCAGGTTTGTCGCTTGTGAAGGACAAGATCGAAGGGCTTGTCAGACGTTCACGAGAGCCAGTCCTTTGATGCTTTGGACGTGGCGGAGGTGGTGGTAGGTACGCCTGGGCAAATCGAACCTTCAGCGCAGCGAGAAGAGTGTCGATAAGTGCTGCTTGTATGCCGACACTACCGCCGTTATCGAGCACGCTGGACAGCCTATCGACAAGAAATGAGTCAATCCCCGACTCAGCCACTTCCTCGGCCCCGGGACCCAGTAAAAGTTGACGCATCACAAGCAGGGCAGTTTGTTGCAGTTTGATCTCATCCAAGCCTTGGTGAGCGGCCGTCGTATGCCCACTGATTACTCTAAGAGATGCCTGAAAAACGACTGCATGAAGGCTCTGGGCGCCAGCGTTATCTGCAAGTATAATCAGAAACCCGACCATAAGAGATGTTTGTTAGAACCAACCTTCAGATGCTGGAGTATCCTTGTGTTTCTCCGTTTGTACCAACGTTTGCGTGAGCAAACTGATCCACCCGTTGTGGGAAAGAGTAGATATAAGATTGGAAATCGTCTGTAGTAGATAGCTGCACTCTTTGTAGTCGTCCGGAGATACAGTGGGATTCGCAGTGTCTGGCTCCGCATTTTCAGACTGTTGGAAAAGACGATCAAGCCTCGAAACTACCATACGGAAAACTCTGTAAAGCATAAGCACTTTCCAACCCATAGTTTCCAGATTCACTCATAAAACAGCAAAGCTGTATAGGAGAGATTGAGGGTGTTCGAACTTACTTATGTATGGAAGACAGGTCTTCAAGCCAGCGATGTACGACTTGGGAGGCTTCATTTACGCCTTGATTGAGCAAGTCCAAGACAATAAAGAGCGGGCGCTCGAGCAGCGACGACTGGTAAGTTATCCCCAGCTGAGGCACATTATGCAGCTGCTTTGGAGGAAGCTCATATGTACCGTGGTGACTGTGAGACCAGAGAACAAAGTACCTTCCGGCTTGCTCTGCCGACGATGATTGACGATGCCCATTTGAGACGTCCACCATCAGAGAAGTAATTGCAGCCTCAACCAGATGATCGGTCCATGAAACAGAATGCAAATGCCACAACGAACGAACTGCCTCGACATGAAATTTAGGGTTCAACGGCGAAAGGTACTGCCATAGTCGGTTGACAAGAGCGGGAATCAAGTCAGATACATCCTCGTAGCTGATGTAGTACCCAGGGCTGTGGATGAAATACATGCTCGTGATGGCGGATGCAATCGAGGAAATGGCTGCGAAGGAGGCAGTGGATGTCTCTACTTGACTAGCACGAACGCGATTGCAAAGTGCCAAGTAGAGGCGTCTATCGCGCAGGATCTTTGTTTTCGGAAGTTTCTTCAGCATGATTATGAGAAGGCCTATTCGTTCATGCATCTGTGTGGCATCACCGCGGCCATCGAGGGCCTCAATAGCTTGTTCGTAGGCATTCCTGATGATGAGTTCCCCAAGGGGCTTAGAGGCGAATGGAAGTGGTTGAGGATCAAGGCTCTGTTTGCTTTGCTCATAAAAGGCGTGTATCCTACTCAGGATCTGGGAGCCAGGTACATCAGAGTTTGAGCCATCTGCCTTATGGGTATCAAACTTCTTCGTGAACGCCCTCTCAGTGAGCAAGCCCGTTAAAGAAGTCATGACCCGGGACAGCCCCGTTGCTACGGCACGCAGCCGCTCTTGGTTCAAGTTGGGATTCTTTTCCGGAGAGAGTTCGCTCAATTTGATGATTGTAGAGAGAGTCAGCAAAGGCACATGTGCAAGTACCATGTCCTCTTCGCGCACATTGAAGTTTTCGAGAATGAAATGCGCAAGCTCCAGGTTTTTCAGTACCTTTTCTTGTCCAGAGGCCAAGTCCTTCGCCTTCCAGTCAATCAGATACAGAAGTTCGGAGAAAATGACGCCGCTTTCCACGCCATCGAAGAAAGAACTAGCACTGCGGAAAACTTCCTCGAAATGGGGTTTTGACGCTTTCAGTTCAAAAGCCTGGACACTTCGCATGATCGGCAAGAATACTTCCGGCACAATATAGCCGCCGACCTCCCATCGGTCCATCAGCGACAGCGATATGCGAAAAGGCCTCGTCTTCTCCGAGGGTACTTCGGTATCTTTATCGATCATGCTAAGAAGACCGTTCACCAGCGGAGGCAACCCGAATCTACTGAAGTATTCGGACTGTGAAATCTCTTGGGCATCAGGGACCGGCTGAGAAACGTTATCCGAT